GTCATTGAATTGCATGTCATTAAAAGGTATAGAATGGCTCGATGGATCAGAAAACAAAATCCATCTTTCTACTCCTTGCACTCTCAGACTCAGAGTAAAATGTTGGAAAATAACCATACAAAGTAATGGAAAACTAAGAAATGCTGGGACAGTTATACCTGTATCAGACCAAATAGTGGTCGAGCTAAAAAAAAGAAAAAGTAAAAGATAGGGACAATTATTGCATACTGGATAAAGGATCAGTAAATCAAGACAACTTAACTCTTATCAACGTGTTAGCACCAGATAGAGAGACAGCAAAGTTTATAAAGCAACTGCCAATAGACCTGAGGTAATACTTCAGCAGCAACACAGTGGCAGAAGGAGACTTTAATACCAAGTTGTCACTATTAGACAGATCAAAAGGGTAGAACATCGGCAAGGAAACAGCAGTGTATCCAATTTGATAGGTTTGCAACTGAAATGTAATGCTTTTTATTTTCCTCATGGAAAAATACCTTAATGGAGTTATAATATTCCCTCTCTAGTTGAACTGTGACAGAAAACCATGTGTACATATCTTGGTTTAATTTCATTAAATATCTTAATTGAGATATTGGAATAACAGGAACTAATTTACAAGAACAGGTCCCTCCATACTGTTAAAAGCTGAGTGCACATTCTTCTCCAGTGCACCTGGAATATTTTCCATAATAGACAACAGACTGGGGCATAATTTGAATACTTATAAAGTCATAAAAATAGAAGTTATACCAAGTATGTAGATCACTCTGCCATGAAGGTAGAAATTAACCATAAGAAAGCCAGGAAAGACTCTGGACAGTGGGTGTGGTCCACTTACCCTGCATGTGGTCAACCAAGGATCAATCCCCAGCACCCATATGGTTCCCTGAATATCACCTGGAGTAATTTTTGAGTGCAGAACCAGGAGTAACCCTTGAACAGCTGGCAGCTGCCAGATATGATGGGGGGGGGGGGGGGGGCAGGCGGAGAAATTCACATTTGCAAACTGAACAAGATAAACTTAAATAGCCATTGGGTAAAGGAAGAATTAAAAACATTCCTTGATATAAGTGAGGATGGAGGTACAAACTATCAGAACCTATGGGACTCAGTAAAAGTAGCACTGTAGCACTATCCTCCCGTTGTTCATCAATTTGCTCAAGCAGGCACCAGTAACATCTCCACTGTGAGACTTGTTGTTACTGTTTTTGGCATATCGAATACGTCATGGGTAGCTTGCCAGTCTTTGCCATGCGGGCGGGATACTCTGGGTAGCTTACCGGGCTCTCAGACAGGGGCGGAGGAATCGAACCCAGGTCGGCCGCAAGCAAGGCAATCGCCCTACCTGCTGTGCTATCGCTCCAATAAAAGTAGTACTATAGAAATGCAAACTTTTATCAGAAAACAAGAATAAACAACCTAACCTCAAAGCCCGAGAGAGTGGCAGGGTTGGGATGATGGGAATTACAGTAGAATCCCAAAGGAGAAGCAAGAATCTTTTCTGACAGTCTGTGAAGCAAATTTCATCCTAATACCAAATACAAGCAGATTTTAATTTTAAAAAGTAACAGACCAATATCCCTAAGGAATATTAATATAAAGAATATCAACAAAATCTTAGCATACTGAACCCAACAATATATCAAAGGACCATACACTATGAGCAGATATCAAAGGATAATTCAGCACGATCAAGAGGGATTCATTCCAGGGATGCAATGTTGGCTTAATATATATAGATCAATTAATGTAATATATTGTATCAACAGAAGAAAAAATAAAAATCATAAATCATATGATTATATCAATTGGCATAGAAAGACTCTGACAAGTTTCAACATCTATGTATGATAAAAAAAACCCTAGAAAGATAGGGGTAGGAGGAATATATACGAATATAAATAGTAATATTACTATAGCCACATAAAACAAACCCATAGCAAGCATCATACCTAAGCTGAAAGCCTTTCTCTAAGATCAGGCCATGATGTCTACTTTCTCCAAATTTTTTTTTCTTTTTGAGTCACATCCAGCTATGCTCAGGGGTTACTCCTGACTCTGTACTCAGAAATTACTCCTGGTGGGGCTGGAGTGATAGCACAGCGGGTAGGGGATTTGCCTTGCAGCCAACTCAGGTCCGATTCCCAGCATCCCATATAGTCCCCTGAGCACCGCCAGGAGTGATTCTTGAGTGCAAAGCCAGGAGTAACCCCTGTGCATCGCCGGGTGTGACCCAAAAAGAAAAAAAAAAAAAAAAGAAAAAAGAAAGTACTCCTGGCGGTGCTTGGGAGACCATATGGGATGCCAGGGATTGAACTCAGGTCGGCCACCCTACCCACTGTACTGTCGCTCCAACCCCTATTTTTATTCAATACATTCTTGAAAGTCTGCCACAGCAATAGGTCGAAAAAAGGCATTCATCTTGGAAAAGAAAGTAAACTATCATTCACAGATGCATAGTAATATAGAGAGAACACCCTAAAGACTCCAGCAAAAAGCTCTTGTCATAGAGGGTTATGTTCTGGATAGCTGAACTTTGACGAAGTAGTAGAAGGCGGCTGAATATTTTGAAGCAGAACTACTTGGTCTGTGGAAGCAGAATGGCCAAGACCCTTCCCTTTAGAATTCCTTCTTCTGCCTGTACTCTCTTGTCTCAAGAAAGTAAGTAAAGTAAAGGCCCTCCCGTTGATCATCGATTTGCTCGAGCGGGCCCAGTAACGTCTCCATTGGAGACTTTGTTGTTACTGTGTCTGGCATATCGAATACTCTCGGTAGCTTGCCGGGCTCTCCGAGAGGGGCAGAGGAATCGAACTCGGGTCGGCCATGTTGGCCGCTTGTAAGGCGAACGCCCTACCCGCTGTGCTATCGCTCCAGCCCAAAAACTATTATATCATTTGCTCGAGTGGGCCCAGTAACGTCTCCATTGGAGACTTTGTTGTTACTGTGTCTGGCATATCGAATACTCTCGGTAGCTTGCCGGGCTCTCCGAGAGGGGCGGAGGAATCGAACTCGGGTCGGCCATGTTGGCTGCATGCAAGGCAAACGCCCTACCCACTGTGCTATTGCTCCAGCCCGTCTCAAAAAAAAATAAAATAAAAATTAATAGTGTAGCTGGCCCCTGAATTCAGTTGAAAATTACTGATCATCCATGAATTGTCATTTTCCAGTGGCACCTTCCTCCATCCCCTCCCTGGTTTCTTCTCTGTCCCTTGCCACCCTCTCAGAGCGCAGCAGTGTTCCTTTTCTGTTTCTTAGGTCTTGAACCAAGCTTTCCTTCTTATGTGGTACTGTTGCAACTCTTGACAGCCCTCTCCTCATCCTCATCCTCCTCACTTCCTCCAAAAAAGAGAAAAGAAAAATCTTGAAACATGGGTTTTATTGCCATGAGTCATTGTCAGAATATGACAGATTACAGCCTTCACACACATTTCCTTTTATTCACGAAAAGGTGCGTTTATCATCATTGTTACCTAATAAATTAACCTGTGGTGTTGAAGCAGCTTGACTGTGACTAACCACATTTCCTTTTATTGAGCTGAGTTCCAGAGGCTTCTTGTTAGGACATTAGCTTGGAAGATTTCTTTCCAATGGCATCACCACTTTCTTTCATAATTATATGAACCATCTGGATGGGAGAATAAATTGTTCCTTAAAATGTCCGCTGGTGTATCTTGACTGGGAACTGCTTTCATTGTATTAAATCACATGCCAGAGATTAAAAGGGTTTGTGTGCTTTGAGGCCATTTTCAGCTGTTGCATCAAACACTCATTACCCAGACTTTGGATGCAGTTTTACACTTGGACAAAGATTTCAAAAACAGTGTCAAAAGTCTGCGATGTCTCTTCTTGTTGTAGAATGATTGATATGATGAAGTTTATTTGTAGTGTCCTAGATCACTGCCTGTGGTCCTCAGTGTTTAATAATAACTTAAAAATGGAATATATTTCATTTACTCCACCACTACACTATTGGTCTTTGTAGCTGGGCTTTCTTATGAGTGTTTTGTTTAAGAAAACACACTGTAGATGTAGAAAGGAGCTAGATAAGTTGTTTCAGGGCAAACTGAGTTCATGTACTTTTCAAAGAAATTCTAACTATCAAATATTTTCACAGCTATTTCCAAACTTTTTAGTTTACTCATTACTAACATTCTTCTAAAGATTCCATCAGAACAACATACTGTGTAAAAAATAAGGATTTAAAGTATTCTGCATTTTATAATTCCCTAGTCTTCATTTCTCCACCGTTATGAGTTCACATTTCCTTGAAAACATACCGTGTTTTAACTTACTACTAAAAGTTACTAGTATAAAATTATCAGTTAGGGTAAGATCAGTGATAAGTTTATAATTAAAATACGAAAGTGCTGCTGTTGCCCTTTTTTGTATACGTATCTTAATAAAATTAAATTGAGTATATGACAGTAGTGTAAATAGGTAAATATAAATGTAATTTATTCACTTTAAAGTTGCCCTTATTAAGTAAATCTAGATATAAACTTTAAAGTCACAGCAACCCTCTCAATAAATAGGACTTTGTGGAAGAATGCTTTAAAATGGGGAAGGGGGGAGGCAGGGGAGAAAGTTCAAAGGCTGGAGCCTAAGCTTTGCATGCAGGAGCCCCGGGTTTGACCCATCATGGCATGGTCTCCTGAGCACCACGCAGAGATAGTCCTTCAGGACCACTGGGTGTGGCCCAGAAAGAAAGAAAGAGAGCAAAGAAGGTAAATTTGGGAGTTTTGAGTTACTAGGTACATTTATGCATAGTTGCAAGTGACATATATTTATGCTCTCAGAAGAACTTGGGGATTTTTGACCAAACCATTCTATAATGACTTAGCTTTAACGTTTTTCACCAAAAGTTTGTACATTGGATCTGTAGCTATTTCTTGGTAAACAATTATTTTCACTTAAAATTAGAAAAATAGTTTTCCTTCATCACGGAGTAGAAGATGGAAGAATGATTCACGAGGGAATTTTCATTTTTTATCTTTCAGACCTGAAGATTATCGACTATAGAGAGGAAATATCAGAAAACAACAATAAGGTGATTAAAACTTCCTCCAGATGAGTTTCTTCACCATCCAGGGCCGAACGAGAGTCGCTCCAGTGTGGCCTGAAGCCTGAGGGGGTGCCGGAAGTGTGTGAAGAAGAGTCAAGAAGGGACATTCCTTCAATAAGAAATCACAATCTGATGCATTATTTTTGTACGGTTGTTTTAATACTGAGCTAATTTGAATGATCCTCATGATGAAACAAATAAAATGGGTTAACTGTGTTTAATGGAAAGTCCAATTCTAGGTAGCACTGTCCTTGCAGGTTGCCAAGTGCCCATCCATCCACACAGATAGCTTCAAATTTCAGCTCATGCAGTTGCCACTTGGCAAAATCAACCCCAGCCTCAGTCCCCTTCAGTGAGCCTTTTATTGAGTTTGTTCAGTGACTTTTAGTTCGGTGCTTCTTCCCATTCTTCTGAGTTCACCTTTCCAGTTCAGCACGGGAAGGTCTGCCCCTTGGTATTAGCAAACTGCTTCCTCTCTTTCTCTGTTTCATTTCTAGCCTCTTCTTCCCCAGGACTAAACCAGTGCCTCCACTGGCTGAAATCTCGCCATCCCGCCATGATGCTGTTTGTTCAGCCACCTACACTGAGCCTCTGTCACTCTCCCATTGGTGGCTCTTCACTTCTGTGCTGGGAACTTACATTGAGCTCCTGGTGGGATATCTTGAGCAAAATCTCCTCTCTGAGAATTAAGATGCTGAGCTGCTATAGTTAGGCATTGTTAATGTAGTTGTGTGTGTGTGTTTTTTTTTTCAGTTGAATCACTGTGATGTATAATCTCCCAGTGGCTAGGGTGAGCCCTGGCAGCTCTCCCCCTCACCTCCAGGGGTTCAGGGGGCCTTGGGCTCCTCCCCCAGCCAGGGCAACCCATGCCATGGGGCAGACGGAGGAGGAAATGAGAGCTAAGCCAGTTGGTTGATCAGTTGCAGTTTACTCCGTTTTCCTCATGCGCCTCTTCCAGTCTCTTTGAGCCCTCGATTCTAGTCTCAAACTGCCCCTCATTCCCGTCTCCTGTCTCTCCCGTTCATCTCTCCACATTCCATCTTGCTGCCCTCCTCTCTCTCTCCCAACCCCTCCAACTCTCTCCTCTCTTCCCAACTCTCTCATCTCTCTCGCACTCCCCAGCACTGGAGGCAGACACTACACCTAGTCTGGTAGCAAAATCAACCTAAGAAAGTCCTTCTTCTACTCATGGGCAAAATGCCACTTCCGGTGTTTTTCTCCTTTCCTCAGTCCAATACCTTAATTAACATCTTAATTTTAGTTATTTTTGTATGGACAAAGTAAGAAATATATTGAGGCTTGTAGGGCAGCTCTCCTGGGAACATCTTGCCACAGACTCAGACTGCAGTGCTCAGGCCAGATTAAGCATTCCTAATCCTAGCAGGATCCAAATCTAGTTATTGCTTTTTGGATCATGACAGAATTTATCCATGACCAAGCTCTTAACTCACAGTTAAGCATTATGGCACTTTGGCCAGGCTCATTTCGATGCCAGGGTAGCACATAGCTCACCCCTTGCCCTGAGTCCATCCAGTCCCTTGTCAGGACCTTGCTTTTACGGTGCTAAGAAGTAAGGACAGCTGAGGCCTAAGTTGAGAGAACAGATGTCCAGGAGATAAATATTGAGAGTCAGTTAACTCCCACAAATTCATAGCATTTACTGTCTTCTTGTGCCCATACAGAAAAGGACATTGTTCTGAATAAACTATGCAAAGAACTTAAGGAGAAGAGAAAAACAATATTTACAAGTCAGCAGAGCACAAAGAAAGAAGTTACAAATAAACACAGGGATGGGAGCACTGTGATGGGAGTAACCCAATAAACTAAGCTTCCTGCAGCAAGGCAGAAAGAACAAACCAATGTTATCCTACACTGTGAGATACAGTTACAAACTTTCATGATTAAGTTTCAGCCATACAATGATCGAGCACCCATCCCTCCACCAGTGCACATTTTCTACCACCAATGTTCCCAGTACCCTTCCTGCCACCCCCACCCTGTCCTACCCCCTGCCTCTGTGGCAGGTGCGTTCCTTCTTTCTCTCTTTACTTTGGGACATTATATTTTTCAATTCAGCTATTAAGAGGCCATCATGTTTGGTCCTTAGTCTACTTTCAGCACACATCTCCCATCCCAAGCGATCCCTCCAACCATCATTTATTTAGTGTTCCCTTCTCCATCCCTGCTGCCTTTTTCCTCAGCATGTGAGGTTGGCTTCCAAATCATGGAGCAGTCCTCCTGGCCCTTATCTCTACTGTCCTTAGGTATGTTATGATAGTCTTTTCCTTTTTTCTTACCCTAGTCAATCAAGGAATGAGTTTCCAACCACCCTCCCATTCATTCCACAAACATGCATGCAGTGCTCGCTGTGTGCCAAGCCCCGTACTTCTGAGATACCAGAAAAACTGAAAGGGTATGACTTCTCCAAGGCCCTCTGACCCCTCCCAAATTGCATCTAGTCTGTTTGATGATATGAGAGACTATGTAGTCTGTTCAACCGCATGCAAAAAGCAGCTGCAGACCTTGCAGAGAAGTCCACCCAGTGTCCAAGGCGCTGCCATAACCCTATGAGCTGTGATATCAGCTTGCTTAGGTAGAAATGGTCACTGGCATTAAGCAGGAAGTATTGCTGGTAAGCACCAGCTAATGTGCCAGGCACAGCTGTTTAATACAAATGAATTCCTTCCACCCACACATTAATCTTTTAGCATATATGGTGCCCTATTCCCCCATTTAGAAAGAAGCACATGGCAACAACAGTCAGAAACTCGGCCAACTGCTAAGTGATAAAAATGGGATTGGTATCCAGGCAGTGTGACTCAAAAGGTCCTGATAGACATAGCCACAGTTCGATAAGAGAAAGAAAACACTTCTGTTGGCTGGTGACATTCTGTAATAAGGGGCATGTAACCTCGTGCCGTACTGGTCAACTTCTGTTCACCAGGAAGTTGTATTTTCAACTGTTGAGCTTAGAAGTAGTAGGACAAAGCTAAGATAGGCTGCAGTGGTCCTGAGGATTATATGTAAAATTCGCAGAGAACACCAGATGCTTATGATGTTGTTTCACAGATGAAGAGAATTCTGGGTTCCCCATGTCCTGTGTCCAGGCCTCATACCAGTTCCTCGCTGGTGTTGTACATTAAGGTCCTGTGTTCAGAATCCATGTCTATTCCTCTAGGATCCTGTCCCTCAATATCCAGGGGTCCACTGTCCCTCATACCCCATGCCTGCTGGTCAGTGGCTGACCCCCTGTGACCCACCTCTCTTTGCTGGTGCTTTCCTTGAGCGTTCCTTGATTCTTTGGCAATGTGCCAACTGTCCTGTCATTCTCCCGGGTCCAGGAGAGGGGTAAAGAGAGGCTGCCATCCATGGAGGTGGGATCTGATGGCTGTAGAAATGAAGAGATCTGACCAGAGCCCCTCCTTTCAGTCTTTATCCCTGTCACTAGCTACTTTGACGATCAGCCGGACTGGCTACCTGAGATCATGGTGAGATGGAAAATGAGTATATATATATATATATATATATATATATGCAGGTGGCCTGTCTCCTCCTCCACGTCCACCAGAACAGTAGCTCCACCTTGACTGATGCCATGACCTTAAGGCCCAGCCTGGATGCAGTGAGCCCCACCTCCTGTGCTGCAGCTTTGACCGCAGTTTATCTCAGGTGTACCCTAACCTCCCGGAACAACGCCCAGCAGATCTTGGAGGATGAGAGGCTCCCTGAAGAAAGTCTTTGTTCCTGCTGGAACCTGAGAATTGGAAGAGATGATATCATAGAGACTTGACACGAATATGGAGGCCAGCCATCGCCATATTAAATGTTTGATAAGGAATTAAGAGAACTAGCATGACCGTAAACTTCCAGGGCTGGGAGTGCTTCTCGGGTGGAAGAGGCACTGCCTAATCCCAGAGCTCTGGCCCCACTTCAGGGGGCTCCGCCTTTCTTCTGGACCCTGACTCCCTTTCGTATTCAGAGAATTTAGAGAGGCTTTTGTACGAAGCAACAGGCCCTCAGAAACAGGCTCAATCCAACCTCTCCTCTCCTGCCTGCCGATTGCATCTAGAGAGGCTGAACAGTCCACTGGGCTCATATCCTGAGAAAACAACCATGAGTAGTCTAAAAATCACCACTAGCTGAATGCGACTCAGTAACCTGATAAAGGAAGACCTTTGGACCACTAGAACCATAACTTCTATTAGAGTAAAATGAGTGACTTTTTTGCCCAAAATGTGGAGTATTGTGATAATGCTTGATGAAGTTACTTTTTATTTTAAAATTGAAAACACCTTCAAAGAGAAAATGATTAACGAAGAAATATTTGTCTTCATTGCTCTTCCCTCTCCTCTCCTCTCCTCTCCTCCCCTCCCCTCCCCTTCCTTCCCCTCCCCTCCCCTCCCCTCCCCTCCCGTCCTCTCCTCTCCTCTCCTCTCCTCTCCTCTCCTCTCCTCTCCTCTCCTCTCCTCTCCTCTCCTCTCCCCTCTCTCTTCTCTCTTCCCTCCCCTTCCCTCTCTCCTCTCTCCTCCACTCTCCCCCTTCTTCTTTTCTTTCCTTTTCTTTTCTTTTCTTTTCTTTTCTTTCCTTTCCCCTTTCCTCTTCTTTCTTTTCTTCCTTCCATTGCCCTTCCTTCCCTTCCAAAAAAATCTTTATTGGAAAAAAGGAAATTACTCCATCATAGTGGAAAGGACAAGAGAGCTGACCTTAAAAGCCTGCCAATCAGTCACTGTCCCAAAGGAAAGTAATTACAATAGCCAACCTGTTTAATTGTCTAGTGTGACATCCTTTTTCTGGTCCTTTCTGTTTAATTTCCTCTTGAACAGGTCCTCAGTTTCTTTCTTCCTCTTAGATTGGATGCTTCATGGTTAGAATCAAATAAACTTACAATTTTTGCTCAGATCAGCTTATAATTCCTAATGTGCCACAGTCTCTCTGTTAACAAGTAATGCCAGATATGTGTATACAAAATATCCAAATGAGCATAATAATTTGTGGAATATAGAGATAACCTTATCTGTCTCTGCCTCAGTTTTGCCTGCTGTGTTGCCTAGTGTATTCCAGCTTTATGAATGGTCTCAATAAAACATGGGTAAACATCCTGATTATAGGTACCAAGAGAGAAAACGGAAAAGTCTTAAGAATTGCAAAGTTTTCAGGGCTGGAGAAGTAGTACATGCTTCCCTTGCATGTGGTTCAATCCCCAGCAAATATATTAA